GAGACGGGGGTCTCACTCTTGCTCAGGCTGGTCTCAAACTCCTGAGCTCAAACAATCCGCCCGCCTTGGCTTCCCAGAGTGCTAGGATTACAGGCATGAGCCACCATGCCCAGCCCAGGTCTATTTTTTTTAAGCTCACATCATTCCTATATGCAGCATACACTAGTAAGTTTATCCCAAAATAAACCACCAGAAAGCAGTGCATAACTGAATGCATGCTGTAAGAACTGGATTTTTTATTGATCAGAAATTTAACCTGTGCACATGAACAAAGTAAATCCAAGTAAAAGACACAGTTTCTAAAATCAAAGTTTGGGGCATGGTGAGAAAACAGTCAAAGATTAGCAAAAAGTGACATGACAATAATGATAAAATTATATGGTCCAAACTTTCATTTATGTGACAAAACTGTGAAACTTTCCATCTTAAAGTCAAAATCTTTTGGCTAACTGTATTGTTTTGTGGAAGGCTTCACTCTGAAAATAAACAAGTTAATTCACTGTCAGATAAAGTTGGTTTTAAGCCAAATGAGCAATTATGGTGCAAGAAGTATACAAATGTATTAAAGGAAATATAATTCTCAAATACTGTAATGGTTGTAAATGTTAGTATTTAGCTAACATTTATCAAGTGCCTAAAATGTACCAGGCACTGTTCTAAGCACTGTTCTAAGGATACTGTAATGAACAATGTAGACAAAAATGCCTACACTTATGCAGTTTACATTCTAGTAAAGTAAGAAGTGGAGAGTCAGAAAATAAGTAAGATAAATAAATAGGTCAGATAGGTAAAACTATAGGATTTTATAGATCACCACTGTCCAATGGAAATACACTGTAAGCCATATGTTATTTTCAATTTTCTATTAGCCATATTAAAAAGTAAAAAGAAACAGGTAAAATTAAATTTTCATAAACTTTAACTTTTTAATAATTTTTAATTTACAAAAAATTGCAAAGATAGTACAGAGAACTGCTGTATTCGCCTCACTCAATTTCCCTGTTGTTAAGATCTTTCACTACTGTGGTACATTTGTAAAGCTAAGAAAACAACATTGGTATATTACAATCAACTAAACCTCAGGCTTTATTTAGATTTCGCCAGTTTCCCCCTTAATGTCCTTCTTCTATTCTGAGATCCAATCCATGATACCACAGTGCATTTAGTTGTCATGTCTCCTTAGTTTCCTCTGGTCTGTGATTGGGTGATATTAAGTTTAATAATATATTTTATTTAACTCAATATAGCAAAAATATTATTTTAACCTGTAACTATTTAAAAATTATTTTCTGTATTCCCCAAGTACCATTTAAACTGAAATCTGCAATGACTAAAAGTGGTGTTTGTTGTAGGCAGCTTGATGAACGCTCATGGGGCAGAAGATTTTTTTTATATGTAAAGGGCTTAGAAGGGACAGAAGATTAAACAATGTCTTTCAATTTTAATAATTTATGTAAACCAGAAAATCAATAATATATTCTGTAATATATTTACATTATTTTTTCATATTCAGTCTTCAAAATCCAATATGTATTTTACACTTACACTTATAGCACATTTCAAACTCAGACATTTTCCCTTGAAAATACTGAATTTGCATTCAGATCTCACAAAATTTACAGTTGAAAAAGATGATACACATACTTAGGTTGTTCCAAGTATACTTAAAAGTTTTCCAATAGTTACACTAAATATCAGTTTTAAAATTTAAATCTAGATGTAATTTAATTTAAGTTTAATTAGTTTAAAAATTCAGTTCTTCAGTTACACCAGACACATTCAAGTGTTCAATAGCCACAGGTGGCTAATAGCCGGTATTGAACAGCACAACTCCATGGCAGAGATACTCTGGTTTTATTCTGAGGTAGATAGGGAGCACTGAAGGGTTTTGAGCAAAGGAGTGACATGATGTGATTTAAGATTACTTTGGTATGCTGGAGAATAATTTGAGGTGAGGCAAGAGCAGAAGCAGGGAGACCAGCCAGGAGCCTACTGCAGGTAGCATCAGGTAAATCATGAAGGTGTCTTGGACTAAACTGGTAGCAATGGAAGTGGGGAGAAGTGGTAGGAATCCAGGAATATCTTGTGTTAGACCCGACTCAACCTGCTTATGAACTGGATATGGGTTCAGGAATGATACAAAGGTTTTGTGCCTCAAAAAATTGGAACAATGAAAGCTGTCTTACAGATTTTGTAAGAAGCAGGTTTGGGGAGGAAGATCAGGGGCTCGGTTTTGTACATTTGAATTTAAGATGCCTATGAGACATTTAAGTGGGGATGTTAAGTAGGCAATGGATATTTGAGTATGAAGTTCATGAGAAAGAGCTCAGCTGGAGATATAAATTTGGGAATCATCAACACGTAGGCTGTATTTAAAGACAGAAGACTGGAGGAGATCACCAAAGGAGGGAGTGTACAGAAAGGTTAGGGTGAGGTTATTCAGCAGCAACATTTTCAGGAAAATGCAAGCTTTGAGACTAGGAATCAAAGATATCAACAAGAATTGGTGGAATGGTACACTCCCTCCAAGCAAAAGCTGCGTTAGACGCAATGGTGCAAAGGCAGTGATTAGCCAACCACGATATACCAAATCATTTCATTCTGCTGAAGCAAAAAATACATAGCCAGCAGATATGGAAAGATGCATTATGTGATGAAGGGCTCTCATGCTTGCTGGGTGGCTATCCACAGCTGGGAATGTGAGGGCTCTAAGGACAGCTTGAGAGTTAAAAAGTGACAGCTGTGGTTTTCTACATATACACAAAATTAACCAATCTGTCCTACCATAGAACCTGTCCTAGTACTGGCACAACAGAGACATCTCTAGTTTAGCAAATGAAGAGAAACCTTTGCCCTGGACCACAAAGCCACTTAACAGCACAGCCTCACAGCAACGAAGATTACTAGGGAGGTGTTTTTCCCCCGGAGGACACCTGAGCCCTTAAGTGGGACAGGCTCGGAGAAGGGCTGCTCAGAAGGCGAGTTCAGGCAGGGGATTCACGAGGGGAGTGTGAGTCCTGCGCAGATTTTGACAAAGGGGAGAGTCCCGGCTTGAAGACAGAGCAAGAAGTCAATTAAGGATAGTGGAAGGGCGTAAGTGGAAGCTCAAGGACACAACACACCGAGATTTTTGAGCTGGAGGAAGGGCTGAACGTAGTGTTGTGAAAGATCCTTTCTTGCCACATCCTTCCTAAGCCCGGCAGTGAGGAGCGCGGGGGATCAAGGAGTGGGGTGGCAGGGTGGGTGAAGGGCGGACCCACGGTGCGCCTTTCAGGTCCTGATGCTGGGAGCAGCCGTCCCCGCCCCTATTTTCCTCTCACCGGCTGGGTTCGCCCGGGAGTGGCAAAGATTCAGCCTGGTTAAACTGGAAGGTGCAGGAAAGCCGGCTGATAGGCAGCCGGGGAATGCCTGCCGAGTGCCAGAACGCCACCATTGCAGGCCCCGCATGGGTGGGGTCAAGGCCGAGGACTTTTCCAGGGCGGTGCTCACGGGGCAGACAAAGGAGGAGGGGCTGTCTCGATACACATGGACCAATCACGACAGACGCTTCCACGTGACTACAATTGACCAATAGGAGGTCGCAGGGATAGCGGCGGGGAAATTCAAACCTGTTTGCGGAAAGGGATTTGGGTTCCATCTTTTCTTCTCCTCCGGTCGGCTTCTTGTAGGTGAGTTGTGCCTCGCGAACGCACCAAGGAACGGCGGTGGCCGGCGTGTGGGCTCTCCCGCAGCGCTGGTCCGTAAGGGTTTGTGGCGAAGCGGAGGCAGCTCGGAGCCAACTAGACGACATAGGCAACAGCTAAATGAGCTGGAGGGGGAGGGGAGGCCTTGCTGCCTCGGCCGGTCTAGTGGGTGGGTTATGCGGAGTTTTTCTTGAGGAAGTAAGAAGTGGGTGTGTACTTCGCTGGAAAGGGAATGGTGGGGCACCTGCACACGAAATCATTTCCCAAAAGACTGTCTCTTTTCTAGTGGGATAGAACTGGGAGAGGGGGTGGTGGCCGTGTTACATTCTGACAGTTAGCTTTCAAACCTAAGGTGTCGGGTGATACCTTGCCACCCATTTTATCGCCCCTTTTTAAACTCCATGACGGGGTTGGCAGTGATATCAGTGACTCTGAATTAGTGGGTTGATGTTTGAGAATCACAAGGACGCTATTGACAGAAAGACTGCACTTTGTTGACTAAACACCACCGCCAAGCAGATGAGCACTATACAGAAGTACAGTAGATTCTTGATATTAGAATAATTAAGGTAGCAAATCATGATTCTGTTAGATATGCACAAGAACAAACTTGCTGATATCCCAATTATCAATAAAGGCCAGTGATGTTCATATTCTGCTTTGAAAGCACTTGCACGTGAAGATTTATTTATGTAAAGCAGGTGAATAAAGGAATGGTTATTCTCATTAACAAAAGGATTCTTATGTCTATGTGTCACTACCAGAATCCAAGCAAACACTCCATATTTTTTAAAAAAATGACTAAGTTTGCAGATGGCCTAGAGAAAAATAATTTTGGAAAAAGTGAAAGAAAGGCATTCAGTGGCTAGAAGAAAAATTGAAAGTTTCAAAGGGGGCAGCATTTCGGGGTAGTGCAATGACTTCTAGTGGCTTCATTGAAGTTATATTGGGAAGAAAAGGTATACTTAGACTGTAAAACCTTGCTGGACAAATTACAAAGATGTGTCCCTTGTTTTTGTGCATAGCTCTGCTAATACTACCCTAATAATATCTGCATTTAGATGTGTTCTCAAAACTAATGCTTTAGTCTTCTGGGTTCTAAAAGGCTTGTGTGTGTGTGTTTTCCCTTTATGTTAGTTAAAATAGGAATTATGACTGGTTCAATTTTTTTCTTAGCAATGGAGTCTGAGGATTTAAGTGGCAGAGAATTGACAATTGATTCCATAATGAACAAAGTGAGAGATATTAAAAATAAGTTTAAAAATGAAGACCTTACTGATGAGCTAAGCTTGAATAAAGTCTCTGCTGATAGTACAGGTGAGTTTTTTCTTTTTTTTAAAAAAAAAAAAAGAAACTTTGAATTATGGGGGCAAGAAAACTATAAAAGATTCCCAGAGCAGGGGTGTACTATAATACTTCTAAGGAATTGGCATAAAGATTCCTTCACTCCAGTCTTTAAGGAAGAGACAGGTAATTATAAGTGTGGCTTACAAAAAAAAAAAAAAAAAGTGCTAAGCTTAAACCAGTAGATACATACTCAGGAAAAAGGCTTGGCGTATATCAAGGCATGGGAGAATAAATGTGTTGGTTTTAAGTTTTAGTTTTCTGCTTTTTAAACCATTATTTTTACAAACTTTTTAAATCAAACAATAAACTAGCAGCATTGCAATGACCCCAAATAGATGCTTAATAAATAAATTAAAACATCAAAACTTATGACATATGCTATGAAAACATAATTATATGAATATATATAACATGTTCACATATGCTAAATTATACAACTGTGTTGTAGAATGAGATAATAAATGCTATCAAAATTAATGATTTTTCTACCAATCTGT